AGACAAGGGAACTCCTGAATCAGGTAGTGGGAGAAATTTGCTTTCGTGGAGGACTTTTTGATGGAATTTACCCACATTTACGTTACATGGAGAGAAAAATCAGCAAAACCTCCCACGGTTAGCGTGACGGCGAGGTAACTTTAACCCATAATCCATCTACCACTAAGGATATTTTACGTCAGCACTGTAGTCAGTGTGAGCCGGATGCGGAGTTCGTATCGACAAGCCATCGCTGGGATTCGAATCCGGCTCACCTCAATGGAAGGAAACGCTCTATCTCTTGAGTCATCATGGAATATTATTATAATATATTAGCAGGAATATTATCGTAATTTCGCAAAAATTCTTTTATTATTGGTAAGAGTCACGTGAGATAGGTGACAGTCATGTCCCACGGTAGACGGAAGTAGTCACTTCTTCAGACAAAGTTTCTTGGGGAGCGGAGTTACGAGCGATGTTCTGTAAGAAGTAATGAAAAACGATTTTGCAAGAATGGATGAATTATTTAAATTAAAGAAAAAAGAGTTGCTAGTAAGATTTCTGAAGAAAGCCATCCTAAAATAATCTTTCGCTACAGTAAATTATAGCAGCTTCCACACAACAAAGTAAAAACTGCTGACCGAACCGAATCACTAATCCGAATTTGGCGTTAAAATTTTTTTGTGACGGAATACTTTACTTTAAGTTAATATCGAATCGGGCGTTTATACACAATTTAAGGTATAGTTAAATATAAGCACCAATAATGGAGATAGCTTACACCAAGGTCAGAGGCCTTATTTATGAAGTATTTTAGCCAATTTAAACTTGCCCTCGTAAGCTGCCGGATGACAAAGAATAATTGTTTACAGTCGAGCACGAGTATGTGCAATGTTTGCTGTCATTTTCAAAACCTGCTAAACATTTTACAATAATAGAAATTAGCTGTAACAAAAGCTAACTTCTAGATACTATACTGGTAATTAGATAGAATATCAAATAACAACAAGATAAAATTACAAAATTTACTACGTTTTAATTCCTTTTATAATTCTCTGATTAGAATAATCTTTAGGAATCTTTTTCTTTCTGTTATAAAACTTTTTTACCACAGAAACTCTTCTTTGGGAAATTTTTCTATCTTCCACCCCCACCTCAAATTTAAATAGCCAAATTTAAAATTTTCCTATGTTTAATTTTTTTGTCACATTTCATTTTTTTTTTCATTTTAAGAAAATTTTGAAAACATCACTGTGAAAAATTTTAGTGACTGTGACATCACATCCCTCTGTGATTAGATGTCGTAGTTCCTAACTATATTGTGACATCACTGTTTTTATTTCCCATCAGAAATGGTGGCAACTATTTTACAACTTAAAATAAAAAAAGTTTGTTAATCAAGCATACACACAGCACATAGAGAATACTAAGGTTTCAACATTCAACATAGTATTCAACATAGGCAACATTTCAGTATTCAACATAGGCTTAACGATACAGAAGCACATAGAAGCAGAATTTCATAAAATCATGCAATACAATTGATTGATATTCAAAAAATAAAATGTAATTATCCTTATTACGCAACATGCATGCATTATGAATAGGCGAATATAACATTACGTACATTATATTACGTACATGTTGGCATTATGAACATACATACGTTATGAATAGGTCTCTGAAGATGTTTAGCAGCATGGAAGAGAAAAACAAATTTACGCCATCTCACACTCAATTTTAAACAATACATGCCAAAACTGACTATATCCAAAGTACGCCGAAATCGGTGTTTTCATAAGCGAAAATAATTCACAAATGCTGCGATTGCGCGGATTATTTGTCCATATCGGTGTTTTGATTTGACTCTTGTTAAAGTTAATATGACAGTTTAATTTAGAGTTAACTTGAAATAGAGAGTTTCTTAAGTATACGTTTTACCACGGAAAAAAGTTTTTATCGCTAACTCTCTTTCGCGCCCATAATAAAATTAAAGTGTGGAAAATGATGAATTCATAAAAACTTAGCGTGAGCCATGGAGTTTCCAATATTGAAAAGCAAGTATTAAAAACATAAAAAAAAAACGAATTCTGAGAGTGAAATTAAGGAATACGCGATGAAGCTCTCTTTCAATAATTTGCTTGCATTTTGATATTTTAAAATTTTTTTTTCGGTAATTGAAACTTCATGATTTACTCTAGTTTTGCCTGAACTCATTTTTTTCTTTTTTAAATTAGTTCTGGAATTGAAAGATAATTTGTGATGAAAAGTTTCTCGCCTGGTATAGCGTCCTCTTAACACAATCCTTTGGATTGTTCAACTCTAAATTTGATAATACACTATACCACAGTTTTCACAGTGCAAAAAAATTTATTATTTTGCGTAAATCTTCCCTTCCAATTCAGGTGCTTACGTAATTTTTGAATGATCCCCAAAAAAGTTCTCTTGAAAAAAAACGAGATCAATTTAAATTAAATTTCAGCATAATACTTATAGACTAAAAGATTTTCATAAATTAATATTGGAACAGCTAAAAACAATAATCTAGAGTTTACATAAAATAAGCGTATTTCATTTAAGGTCTTAAATTATTTTACTTAATAGCCCTGATGAATATACCCTGATGAAAATAATAAAAACGATTTCTTAATCGTGATGATAACGTTATCATAAATTTCATATATGATATAATTTAATCGTGCAAAATTGTCTACTGGTTAAACAACCTTTTCACAATTTTGCAGCGATTCTTCATATTTCGAATATTATATAGAGACATCATACCATTTGGTGTGCATATTAAAACATGATTCTCAACATGAATCTAATAATGTTATGAAGAATAGATTATATTACCCGTAACCGCAAAAGAACATCTGCCCTTCCCCACAATTAACTTTTCCTAATAACCGATGCGGCAAAATACCGTCTAATATAAATTATAATCATCCCTCACGGAAATATGGTCACTGTTCTGGAGAGAGAACTCAGTTCTTTTTATTAAAAAATATTACGTTCGTATATCAGTCACGTGTACTATTCGAATTAAAGTAACGCTATTATATGCAGTTGCATGTCATATAACTAGTACACAATTACGGCGTGTGTTGAGAAGGGGGCGAGGAATACCCCCTCCCTCTTTTGTCATTCATCGTGACAGATGTGGGGGTAATAACTTAAATTTTAACATTTCTATTAAAGCACAGATGAATGCTGTCTTTAACTTGTGTATGAAATTATCACAATAGGAAATTATTAGTATAACCAATATGCAATAATTGTATAATTTAATGATATAATTAATTTTAACGATTAGTATACCTTAAAACAATTTTTCATTTTTCCACCCAAAAAAAGTATATATATATATATANTTTTTTAAATCAGTTGTTTGTCATTTTTTCAATTATTATTCCCCCCCCCTTTTTTTTTCATATGTCTATAATTTTTCTTTCTTTCATCTTCATTTTGAACTTATATTACGATGCAAGTTTTTAATTCTCTCAAAATTTGTCACCTGAACTAAGAAAAAAGAAAAAAACAGGAGTCAAGTTTTTTTTTTTATATCTTTATTTTTTATTTACTTATTTACAAAGTGACAAACAGAAGTCGTTAGAAGCCGCTGGATCGGAAAATCGCGAATGGGAGCGATAAAATTTGGTGTATTGCTAGTTCCAAGCACGGTGATGATCGATCAGATTGGTTATTCGTTAGCCATTGTTTTAAATATAACCTATAGACGATTCTAGCTTTGAAAATATTTCAAAGATAACATCAGCGATATATTCTAGCTTATAGCTCTATTTGATCAATAAAGTAGTTTTTTATACGTCTTTTAATACTGAGTTCTTTTTCTCGCTACGTCAGATAAGTTCAATGAACAACGATAACTTGGTAGCATGGAAGACTGCGTCACTAAATTTCTAAGGTTATCTGATAGTGTTTCTTTTGTGTATAAAAATAAAAACAATAATAAATCAACGATAGTTGAAATTAAAAAAAAGTTTTACAGTGAAAAGCAAAATTAGTGGAAAGAACTAATTCATTGAGAACACCAATATTATTAGACAAAAAATTCCACCATTATTATGAAGCCAATGATAATTAGTTTGGGTCGAATTCGCACAAAAGAATATGTACTGGAGAAAATTACTTGATAGTGGTAAATTTCGACCATCATTAGTTGACCGCGAGTAGTAGCATCATGGCAAATGGGATGCCGAATACAGTTAACTATACAGTTGGAATACAGTTGGGATGAACTATAAAAGCGTGTTTTGGTTCATTTACTAACGCGTAACCACCAAGACGGGCAACAAATAATGATACATAATGAAATAATCGAAATTATTTTCGCTTTATTAATTGTGTCGTTATTTGCATGTTCAGTTTTGCTCATGATTCCGAAAAATTCGCAATGATTTCTTCCACTGGAGCGTACTAACTCCTGTACCCTCCTGTCATTCATAGAAAGCGGTTTTAAGATAAAATAAAGAATCCTGAAGGAGACCCACATTTACACTAACCTACCGAAAATCACTTGATTTTGTGACGAAATGATTTACAAAAGTAACAAATTCCTGCCCAACCAAAAATACATAAGGAAATTAATGTGAGAAAACTGTGGGCCCTACTATTGATTTTCCGTTGATAAAAATGCACCGCTGTCACCAATGTAAATCTGTCTTGGATCAGTCTATTTTAATGTTATACAATGATTTATAGTTTCTATTTGAAAAAGTTCATTAAAGTAACCCTAATTTCTGATTTAAAAACGTTCCTATTTCTGATAGGCTATTTGACGCATTTGACGTAAGCCTTTCATATTATCAATGACTTTATTGGATCCTGTAACACTATCATTAAATTTTTACATATTCTTATAGACACAAAAGAATCTCTATTACGTAAAACATTAAAAATAAATAAATAAAATTAGCTTACACTCTGAGTTGTTTCACCTGACTCACGTGACTTGAGACGTTGCACGGAACGGCTCCATTCATTCTAGGATACTAGACTGGCCTAGGGGCTTAAATTAGAGATCAGCCTGAAACATGAAAGTTAAGTTACTGATCTAGTTCAGTCTTCCCTTGGAATCTCATCAATACTTTTGGAAATGGAAGTAAGGACAAATCCATTTATTTATATCTTAACTTACTATAAAAAATGATAGTTATTAAAAAAAATGGTTTCGAAAATTGAAACAACTTTTCAGAATTCACAATTATTTGAGAGGATTTTTTCATTTATAGGATTTAAACTCTAGTAAACTCCAGTTCAAAGTAATACTAGTTTCAGAAATTTTGAATGACGCTTTCTTTCAAAAATTGGATAAACTATTAATGCCTAAAAAAGTAGACGAGTAAAGTGACTTTACAAACAAAAACTGGTAGTTTATTTATGTTCACATTAGTGTAAATAGTTATTTTTCTGTCAATTCGGTCATTTACTATGTCTACATTGATTAAATACTCGTATATAACATTGATATATATTTAATCAATAAGTGTGGCCTGTTTCCCCAAATGAAACTGTTTATTTTTCATTCAATTTAAAAGAAACTGAATCTTTTGGAAAAAAGCGTAAGGCCCTAAAGAATTAAAAATAGTAAAACGTTTAATATTTTTTATGCTCAGTCTGAAATTTTAAAAAAAATTATTTGGAAATTAGGCAGTTTATCCGTTTGGGGGAAGGGAGAGGCTTAAAAAAGTAATAATTTCAATTGATTCTGATAAGTACTACTATTATTGTGGTAATAGGTAACCAATAATATAAGTACCTTAATATTGGTACAAAATATAGATACTGCAGGTATAGGTTTGTACCGTTTCCCGTAACGTATAAGTACCAAAAATTTCACCAAAAGTCGTTTTCATCAAAGTTGAATCAAAATCGTTGTCCTTATTACAAAAATTTCTTCTTGTAAATTCAATGGAATTTTGGCTGTTATCCGGTTCAAACCGGCAAAAGGAGAAAGAGGCGCTGCAGCAGGCCCGCTTGCTTTGAGAGTATACGTACCTAAAAATACGTATACGAATTAATACGAATTGTAATTAGTGAGTATCAAATTGAAATCACAATCATGTGACTATGTGCTGCTGGAGTTAGAAAGGCTCGTCTCATATATGGTGCCATAAACAGCGGAGGGAGAAGAGCGTGATCACGTATACGCGATCACGATCTTGAACGAGTTAAACAGATTTACGATAGCATGATACTATTCAATACAGATTAACGTAAAACGCTCTTATTTATAATAAAATCTTTCGCGCCTTTTTTTATTTTTCATTTTTTTTAAAAATGTTTTAAATGTTTTTTTTTTTTGCTTCACATTTACAAATTATTGTCCGAGTATTATCAAGCTTTACGTTTAGCTTTCTTTTTTTTTTTTTTGTTAATACTTTCATACATCGTTTTTGCAAATATATAAGGATAAATAGTTACGTAACATGTCCTTCGCTTGAGTAATTTAAATAAATTGCAATTTACTTTTCCCTTTGTCACAGAATGAAACAAAAATTAACACAAGCAATAGTTCAAAATGTAAGAATGATGAAACAGAAGGAAATTCCGAGCCAGAAAGTCAAGCCATTGATGGATCTTCTAATTTCTTACGAAGACCACACAAGCCGCCATACTCATCTTTACTTCTACCGTTGCCATCTACTCAGGACTTGAAGAAAAATCCGTTTGATGACATTGAAGATAAGTCAATGGTATGAAGAATTAAAAACACAAAATGTCACAATTCATAGTACACAGTAATCATACATGATCACCGAAAAAACTTAAAAATTTCATAAAGGGAGGAAAAATTAAAATAAAGATTAATTACTCCGTTTTAGGTCAAAGGTGCATAAACGCACTATTTCAATAAATATTTTTTATTAACACTGTGATGTATATTTTTCACCATTATTATTATTTTTTTTTTACTATTTTTAAGGGTTGTGAAGACATCTATAAAATATTAGCAATTCAACTGAAGTAACCTCTTTCTGTTGAGAAATTTTTTAAATACAATAATTTTTTGTAATATTTTTTTTTAGCTTAAAACGTTATTAACAAATTCGACTTTTTGTAAATGTATAATTATTGCACTTGAGATCAATCATATGTTCTTATTATGAGTTAAAGGTGCCAGTTCTGTAAATGAAATTCCCATTTTATTCACCAGTACCTTTATACGTTTTATTACCATTTATGTGCCATCCCATTTCTCGGAGAAAGCATTATTTTTTATGCACGAAACTTTTTTTGTTGTTGTGTGTCTTAGTGGATGTAATTTAAGTATATTTCAATGAAAATTATACCACATTTTATAAAATTTCTATGCTTAGCGAAAATGGGTTAGGGTCTCGAGGCTAAAGCAAGGTAATCCCATATTCAATAATTGTTCTCAATAAGAGTCAGACGAAACTTAAAACTGATTTTACATTTCATGGGTGCGTTGCCTAAAATGTCCTAGAGTACTTACGTTCAAACATTACCTACGTACCTAACAGTATTTTATTTTATTTTACAACCAGCGTTGAATCGTTGACCCAATTCTGAGTTTACGACTATCAATGTTCAACTCCATAGTCTTGTAATTTTCGAACCCAACCCAGAAGACAAGGGAACTCCTGGGTCAAGCATTGGGGCAAACTAGCCTTCGTGGTGGACTTTTTGATGGAACTAATCTGTATTTGCGCTACATAGAGAGGAAAATCATAAAAACCTCCCGTGGTTTGCCCGAGCTTAATATCTTTTAGAAAAAAATTTCTTTATTAATTTAAAAATTTTCCATTATGAAATAAGTTTTTTCCCCTTCCTATTTTGTGATCTATTTCTTTTAAAAAACGGATGCATTTAATGTGATATCCTATTGTACAAGCATAAGTATACTTTGAATCCATACATTTTTTATCAAAAATTAAAAATTAGAAACTGTGACCCGGTAGCATGTGTCATCAACCATACATGCACCCGCAATTGCAGAACCTGGAAATAAGATAAATCAGATTTTTGTTAAAGTGCTCTTTATGAGTATCCCATCCGCTATTGTGCACCTTAACAATTTTATTCTTGATTATATAAATATTCTTCATTTTCTTTCTTTCTTTTCAGGCTGGTTTTACAGAATTTCGGAAGTACAAAAGAGTTAATGAATCCAGAAAAATAACTCCTTATGTTCCTGAGGATACTTCAAAGATACAGGCAATACAATATTTTCAAATCTAATATTGATAAAGAAAATTTTTGGATGATCTTGCTTTATAAACGGTGTCCATTCTTTTAAAATATGCATTATCAATTAAGTGTTCAGTGTGTGAGAGAGAGATTTTAATTTTAAGAATTTCTGCAGGTACTTCTCAGAAATTTAAAGCAAAAATATAATCGGTAGTTTGTTATACTGTACATTTATCTGCTTTTAGAATTTTTCAGAAATGTACTTTATTTTCTTTTAAACACTCGAACACCGATTTGAATTATAATGAAAATTGTGCTCAAAATAAAGACGTTTTTTAAAAATCTAAATTCGATCTAAAATATTCCATCCGGGAATCAGACAAATTTCATGTTTTAAATAATTATAAACAGATTTTCACTTGTACTTGGTTTACCCTCAAAGTAAAACTATTTTAAATATATAGAGATTTCACCTCATCTCAGCGCGGTTAAAATATCATACAAACAATTAATATTTGGATTTAGACCATCGACTACTAATGCGAGACCGCCTTTATGTTTTCGGTCTTATGTGTGGAGTCTTGTTGAAACGTCTAGTTTACATTGATGAAGTGTTTTTCGGCCAGTACAAGAGCTTCCAGAATGTTCTGCCAAACATGACGACTTTGGATTTTGGTAAGGTTCAATGATTGACATATTGACAAGGTTCTAGGAACGTCTAAAAGCCAGATCCTATCGTTCTAGGAGTTATGAGCATGTTGGACGTTAAAGAGCTCTTCATCAATGAAATGGAACCACCCACAGCTCTGCTGGCTGATTTGCGGCTTATTGCTGAAATTTTCAATAAGCGTTTGCGGCTTTGCATCGCTGCAAAAAGCGACCACCTTAAAGGCCTGGTTTCTTAGGACAGGACGCCGTCAGCTGGATATCAGCGCTAACCTCTGATTGGTATATTTGTGAGTTTGATAGTATACGCCATCGAACGCTCATCTTGAACTACAATTGCCGTCCAACTCAACTGCAGTTGGATTACAACGTGACGTTAACCACCGAAGCAATGACGGACAACATCCAACACCACATTGAAATCAGCCAAGATTTTGATTTTGACATTAAACATAGCTTCTTCAATAATCATAGCACTCTTCATTTAGCTCAGTTATAATGTGTTTTTTCTTATCCAAAGTCATCATTTGTTCTCTAAAACACTGGTCGACAATAACAAAATCAATAAAAATTCGAAGTAAGTATTTGTTTACGTTATTAACGCATGCGCAATGAGAGATAATGTCTGCGTTGGACCGACTGCTCACGCTGAGCTAACAAAGAAGTATTTTTGTGGCGTCAGCTCTACGTCAACTTTCCGCTGACGCCCAGATAAGGCGCTTGTCCTAAGAAACCAGGCCTTAAGATGTAGCAGCAATTTTATCTTTGTCTGAGTACGGCTCAACAAAGATTCTATCAAAACTATGCGCAAAGAGACCAAGATTAGGAATTTTTAGATTTCGCCTCTACGGACCTAAATAGGTTTGGTCAATCACATGTAGGGTCTGATCTGTGCCAAATAGCTGCTATTGGGTACAAATTGGTTGATAATGGCTCAGCTAGCCCTTATTGTCAAGAATCTTAAATAATTGTTCTATGACATAAATAATGTTCCTGTAATGGTAAATTATAGCATCATTATTTATGCATCGATTGATTCGGAATATTTTGTATAAAGGCCATCTGCATAATACTATAGGACTATTCTGTGTAATGCTGGGGAAAATATTGATTGATTACGGCTCATCTAGCCCTTACCTAATTCNTAACCTCTGATTGGTCCATTTGTGAGTTTGATAGTATACGTCATCGAACGCTCATCTTGAACTACAATTGCCGTCCAACTCAACTGCAGTTGGATTACAACGTGACGTTAACCACAGAAATGGCAGACAACATCCAACACCACATTGAAATCAGCCAAAATTTTGATTTTGACATTAAACATAGCTTCTTCAATAAACATAGCACTCTTCATTTAGATCAGTTATAATGTGTTTTTTCTTATCCAAAGTCAGCACTTGTTCTCTAAAACACTGGTCGACAATAACAAAATCAATAAAAATTCAAAGTAAGTATTTGTTTACGTTATTAACGCATGCGCAATGAGAGATAATGTCTGCGTTGGACCGACTGCTCACGCTGAGCTAACAAAGAAGTATTTTTGTGGCGTCAGCTCTACGTCAACTTTCCGCTGACGCCCAGATAAGGCGCTTGTCCTAAGAAACCAGTCCTTTAGACTAATTTGTCCGTTTTTTTCTTTCTTCCGCATTTTGCAAAGTCGATATTTTTAAAGCATATATAATTTTCATAAAACCCTCATCAAGACTTTAAAGCTAGACCATTTCTCTGTCTGACAATCAGTGTACATGTTTAAATTATATATACATAGTGGTAGACTGATAGATTCTGATAACATATTTATACATTACCTTTGCTACTATGGAAAAAAAAAATATTTTCTGAATCTCTGGAAATTCGGTGGAAGTTGGAGGGTATACCATTAAGGAAAAACCTAGATATTAACATCAGGTGTTATACAAGGAATAAATATTGAATTTCAACAAGTATAAGTATAATCAAGTCTATATAATCCCATCACAATATATTTCCTTTAAGATTTTTAATGATTACATTACAGATTTCAGAAGAAATAGATGTGTCAGTTATAGAGATTAAGGACCCTGAAAAGTTTATTCTTGGTAAAATTTTTCTCTTTTAGTTTTCCTCATCACTTAGCTACATTAAAATTAAAAAGTAAATTAATATCCAGTTCTTAATCTTATTAAGTACTTAACTTTTGTACTTTCAATACAAATTTTTTTCCCTTTTTAAAGGTTAATTGGTTAAAAATATATAGGTTGGTCCAAAATCATTTTTCTTAATATATATTGCTGGAATCGTTCTAAATAAAATTAAGTAAAATATATTGATATGCACATAAGGGATCACAAACTCATATTCAGAGGGGGGGGGGTGGAGAATATTTCTAAACTCTTACAATTTATTATTAGAGAGTGTAAAGAGGGTTAATAACAAAAAACTAGTATATTTATCAAAAAACTAATCCCAAGATTGAAAAGCAGAAAAACCTACTTGATTAAGGAACTTTGGCTTCCCTAAGCATGAGGATGGAAGTAAAAGTACACGTGTTTCAAGCGCTCAAAAGTAGGCGCCCATTATGAATGAAGAAAACAAAAGTGATTTGAAATAATAATTTTAAAGTTGCCAACGTGAAAGGGAAAATGAAGGTGAACAAAAAAACTGGAAATACCGCGAAACCCGAGAGTGAAGCAAAATATAAAAATAACTTAATAAATAAAGACGAAACAAGAACCCATTGGGGCTGAGAGACACAAATCAGGGTAAAATGCATTTCCATGTATTGAAGTTATTGCCTTTGTCTCGTTTGTCTTCAAAATGTATAATTATGCGTCAATGGCAAGTGAATACATTGTTGTATATCACATATATTAAGTTTTGTCACAAAATTATCAATAAATATTTATGGCCTGAATAAGCATAATAGCTCAAGATTATATAAAATTAGAACTAACGTATTTACTATATTTTGCTTGGTATCATCCGATATTAAGACACCTTCTTTATATTTCGTAGATTTAGCATTTTTCACTTTTTGAGATAACACAAAAGTGTTTTTAAGTTTTGCAAATTCAGCTAATTTCCAACGATTTATACTGATCATATGCTCATTCGACATTATAATAATGGGCATCATAATAAGATTTGAATTATAAATTTAAAAAGGGTATTCTCGTATGGGAACTTTCTCCTCATAACCACCCTCCAATTAAAGGCAATTTTTTTTCATTAATGATCATCTGATATTAATATTTTTTCAGGCTTGCTTTCCTATTGCCTTTATGTTTCATAATTGATTATGTAACTATGATAGTGATTAAATATTGTGTATATTCAGAGGGAAAACGTCACATCCCTGTATCCAGTTTGAGAAGAATCCTGAATGCGGTTCTTCAGCATCCTGATGTAGGCTTCATGACGATGAAGAGAGACCACATGGATCTCGTCAATGATTACAAGCCATACCAATACACGTAAGATCCTTAATATTGCACAGTGCGTAAAATAAAAATAAAAAACGGGCCACCCTGAATAAATTTTGATCTAATGATCGGATCTTCACGTTCTAGGATTTAATCTTAATAATCCTACGGGGTGGCCTCAAATATGCAAATCAATTAGTGCAGACGATATTTTAAGTTACGAAATCAGACACAAAAATATGATCTTCCTGAATTAATATACTTTTTTTCGACGTATTCGGATTTCAGACCCCTAAAATACAGTCTGAACGAAATCGGTCGAATAGTAAGAGAGAAATTTTTAAAATTACAACTTTCTGAAGTTTTAATACTCTGAAACTATTTAATCGATTTTGCTGAAACGTTGTATCCTATTATGCTAAATTACATTCCTTAAAATGATGTAAGAAACTGTCTTATAATTAAAATTTTTTTCGACTATTACTAAATAAAATTAATAAAAAGTAATAACTATTTACTGAAAGTTAATTTTTTGCATTGAATTATCTTTGGATAAACGATTTTCAAAATTGAGTTTTTCAAAATTTTTTCAATTCGTGGTCATTTACCATATAATTTTGAGGAGAAGTCCCGCCTTTCAAGTAAACAGTTTCGTAAATTTATGTTATAACTGTAAAATTTTATCTTACTAAGGTGTTTTTACTGGCAGAATGCATTTATACAAGCAGTATGTTCAAATCCACAACGAAGCCGTCGAAGTTGTCGAATCAAATGAAAGATTGTCAATGACGTCACAAGAGAACGCTTTGTTTTCAATGTTGAAATCGCTATTACTATTGGGCTCCTCTTCAAGCTCTCTGACGCGAGCCAATCCCCAAAGACTGCTACGCGATATCATATGTTTCGCTACCATTTGAAATGTGACTAAATATAAAATCTTAATTATGCGCTTCCCAATCCTTATGATATGGAACCTTATTTTCCTCCAAGTTTGAAATCTTTGTACTGAATTACACCGTATGCAGGGAGTAGTAAGCGCCGCTCTCCGTGCGGCGGAAGTGACGTCATCACCCAAAGTCAACTGGAGCTTATTTCTGTCCTTACCGGAAGTTGCTTAGTTCTGCCCACCTAGAAAAGCGGTTCACCTAGAATATAATACCGTGAATATAATATAATTTTGCCATCGTTAAGATTATCTGATGACGATTAAGGCTGTTCTTCGAAGGGTTTTTGGTCGCACGAAAATAATTCTTTTTAACAAATAAGATGCGATTTTTGTTGCTGTTGGGAGTTGAGTTGGTAGCCATTAATTCACGAATCTTAGAATCTTTTGTTGAACCATAATGCTGATTATAAAAATGGCGTAGAACTGCAACTAATTATGAATTCTGTCTTTTCAGAATCTGTCATTATAACGATTTAGATAAATCTAACTATGTATCGATTAGTCCGAATGGTTTGGTGGAGTTTTACAATGATGATGCGGATTTTTTGCCTTTGGACAGATTTGAAGTGGAATATGAGCTTTATAATAAATTAAAAGAGGTAAATTGAGTAATCAAGTTCAAGAAACTGCCATTTTGTCACCAACTGCAAATAAATCGTCGATGAGCTTTTAATTCTGGACACAGCTCGACGTAAGTGTAAGAAGACTGTCACAGCTCAAAATGTCCTTTTAATATTTCAATTAAATTTTAAAAAAATTACAAGGAATTTCGTGCTTACTTTTGATTGCTTTTTTAAAAGCTAAGCATAATCATTACGGGGCAAATTAACGAACTTCTGTGTTGAATTGCCTAGGTATATTACAATTTTTTTTATGCATATCTTCCTAATCAGTAAACTAAACGATAAAGTGGTTTTGAAAAACATAATATCCTCCATCTTCAATTTAATACCACTATTATTTTTACAAGTTTGTCATGGACCCGTGACAACCTTCTAAAAAGAACTGTTGACTGTAAAAGAACTGTACGAATATCTTAACTTCAAAAAAGCAAATAGGTAAATTCCATGGCTTAGGCAAATAGACGCATTTTCATTGTGGATTTATTTGGATCAGTTAGTTTATCTTTTACTGTTATTATTATTACTTTACTTTTTATTTTATTTTTTTAAAAACAATATTTATTAGAGAAGTTCAAAAAACGTAATCAAGTACGTGATATGTCCATTTTCTTAAATAGCTGGGTCCAGAATATAAAAGCTCATTGACGAGCTACTGGTTTTAAGTTAGGTGATTTTGTAGACCTATTGAGCTGTCATAAGATTCGTGAGTGCATATAAAAGCAGCCGAAAATTCTGCAAGCTCATTGAATTTCTTCGTTGCATTTTGAAAAATAGGGTATTAATAGGCATATAAACACCATTTTCATTACATAGAAGTAAACTGAAAGACAACAAATGAGCAACCAGAATAAAATAAGTATATTTTTATTAAGTGATTGTATCAGCAAGTTGGCCCAATCCATAATAAGAAAAACACTCTGCAACATCATAGACCCACCATGGGCTCCGGACTTGTGGTCCATTTTTCTAAAATTGTCTAATTATTGGTCAGGTGAGCTTATGAAACTAGTGCAAAAGAGAATGTATTTGACAGGATGGAAGACAAGACACTTTTGCAGACGATAAAAATTCTACTGCCCTCGTGACGCTGAAAACAAAGGCAATTATTCAAAATGAAACCAAATATACTATTTTAAAGAATTTTATTATATCTAACCAACACAAAAATGGGATCAAAAACTTTACACCAAAGTGATGTAGAAAAACACCTTACATAACTCTTGGTTCCTGTTCTTTAATACTACTCGGTGTAAAGTATCTGCCATTGTTTTTGATATTCAGTTAAAATAAAATTTATAATTACAGTAAGATATGATACAATATAAGAGTCGGTAAGGTTATTTTAGTGAACATACTATAAAGTAATAATCAATAATTTAATTTAGGTTGCATTTCTACATTAATTCTTAAAGCACAATTAGTTTGCAAATCAAAAATACTCACAGCATATAGGATATTAAGATGAATTCGAACTAGGCCTAAACGAAGCAGGTAGAAATGAAATATTATAAAGTTATTTAATAAAGCTAATAGATTTATGTGAATTTCCATATAAGAGCATAACTATCGTTTTTACCAGCTAAAATCATTAGTACCTTTTGTAAAAGTTAAGACGTAAAAATCAATCAGAAGTGTTAACCAGGAAGTCTTACGACAAATTTTAACCCCTAGCGCCATCTGTGCTTAGCTTTACACGGTTAATCATCCATAGACAAAGCTTACACCAAGCTCAAATGCATTTACTCCATTCATGGACTCGTTCAGCTAGTTTTTTTGTACGTTTGGAAACCTTCAGGTGACAATGGTAAATTGTTTACTATCGAGTACGAAAAGCTTGAAGTCTTGTTCGCAACTGAACGTTCTACAGAAACAAAAATTCTTTAAGTTTAAAAAAGACCGAAAGTTTTTGGAATTTCTTCCACTTTTAGGAAACTTGTTATTGTTTACATTTAGTTAACAATTTATAACCGGTATTTAAAACCCTCTAAAATGTGTATGGATACTTGTTTCGGTATTAACTTAAAATAGAGTTATCATTCACGCGATTTTCTTTTTAGATTTTCGACACCAAATTTAGATACGCATTACGTCACAGTTTTTTACGGTTTACATGAACTATTTTAAAGAAATAAATTGCAAAATGCATCTAGAAATTGGCCCTTCCGAATTTGAAATAGTTATTAATACTCTAGAGAAGAATCACTGCGGCTAATCAATGATTTTTGGACTAAGAAATTAAATTAAATCTAATTAAAAGATATACACTAAGCTATTGCTCTATAAACAATCAATAAGGTCTATCCATCTGGAACATGGACAATGTCAAAATAAATAAATCTGCGAGGATCTATGAGAAAGAGATATTAAGAACTATTCTGCTGGTAAATTTTTTTATTGAATCTTAATGAAATTCTTAAATTCAAGCAATAAAATAGGTTTTTCATGCAATATGTAAGAATGAGAACAATATTACAGAAAAAAAAAATTAAGGCTAATAATTTAGCTAAAGTTATGAGAAGCAAACTTGGGCATAGATGGGTAGACTGTTTTAAACTTTAAAAATTGAGGATATAGCTTGGGACGGGGGAGTAAGTGAGAAGGCCGAACTCACGTAATTTGGATCTTGAACAACGTGAATAGCGCTAGAGCCTGAGTTGGTTCCTCCCTCTATAAACTCTCTCCAAACCACACCACAATCAATGAGAGGGCAATAAGCATCATAGGAGCTGAACTGCTTTCTAACATGAATAACAATGTTTCTTTTCAAGCAGAGAAACAGTCGAGTTGATGCTCAAAATAAGATAACGAAACTTAAAGTAAATGAACTGGCTGTTAAATTTTAAAAATGAAAATTTACACACCCATTACATTCTGACTTAAAAAAAAAAAGCAAGATTTATTTCATTAAAGTTCTATATAACCGCATTTTGTTTCAGATGCCTTCATTCCAAAGATATCGATTGTGGAAATCCTTCATGGTATGGTTAGGCAAGATCAGACGGAGAAAATTCATGATTGCAAAAGAAAAACTTGAAGTTTTCTTCATTGACAAATATAAAAGTGTAGATAAATAAATGTGCAACGGAAAGATTGATCTGTATCAGCACTGAAATTACCTTGTGAATTCCTATAATGAAAGTATTAAATTCAATTTTTATCATTCATGTGTCTTACACTTTGCAATCATTGGTTAAAGTCACTATCTTATTAAATTGCTTTCTTTTAAAAAAAATATTCGAAATTATCATAGATATTTTAATTTTCGACACAATCAGGGCTACTCTAAGACGTTCTTGGCAAGAACAGGGGTAGCTTGTGATTTTAAAAATTTTAATTCGAGCACATTCTTCCGAAGAATGAAGATTCAAATTATTTAATAACTTGCTTACTTCTTTCTTATTTGTCTATTTTATGAAAAATAAATATTCATGCGAAAAAATATTACAACGGTTTGCTTTAAATGCATAAATAGTTGAATGAAATATAATTCTAAAACTACAATTTTATTCCGTCGCTCAAATTAATGCCCCCCCCCCCAACTTCAGGAAAGTTAAGGGGCATAATAAAACATTGGAAAAAGTGAGAAAAAAATTGATAAAATTGCGTTTCAACTTTTAAAGAAATAACAAAATATTACTGACGTGTAACTTGTCTGCAGAAAAATGCCTGGATATGCCTCATTTTGTTAAACAACAAATACTATTAATTAAAAAAATCGAAAGATATGAAACAATTAAGAAACCTTCCAATTTTATCAGATTTTTTACTTTATTTTTTTATATTTTGTTTTTAATCTGGAGTTAAAGAGCAAAAAATTTATAACACAATTTACAATGTTTTGCAATCTTCATAATTCGTAACGATTTGAGTAGAAATCGTCTGTTGACTGCCAACAGCTTGCGCTCCATCAGAGTTAGTAGGGGTTTTCAAAATTTTAAAAATATTATTATAAACGAAATATTTAAAATTGTTTTATGTACTACAGCACAGTAAAAAATAAATGCCTTAATGAAACATACAAACTAACCTTTATTTTACTATACAAAACCAAATATGATTAAACTTCTTACGTATAATTCATATATCATTTTATACCAACTACTAAAGGAGATACTTACTTTATAATATAAGATATTTAATTTAAATGATCATAAGTAAAACTCAAGTTCATGTAAGTGATATGCAAGCTTACAGAATTGTAACTGCTGTAAGAGAAAAAATCCATCCTCCAATAAAATTAAAAAAGAAAAATGGTTTTAACTATGAAACATTCATTACTGAAGGAATATTTACTAGAGTGGATAATTTTTTTTTTGTTTCTATTTGTGCAATATTATAAGTAAAAGAAACTTTCTCCTTCACATTTCAATTATACACATTTACAAGGATTTAATTATCTTACTACGTAAATAAAATTTTATAGTTGAAGAGCTTGATAATATTTAACATAATTGCAATTTTGCATCCATGATTGTCGAAATAATCAGCCAACTTAGCAAAAAAAAAAAAAAAAAAAAAAAAAAAAAAAAAAAAAAAAAAAAAAAAATGAGAAAGAAAGAAAAGGAAAGAAAGAAAACTAACACAACAACGTCTCAAATTTTGTTTATTAATTATTTTTATCAAAAAATCATTTTGGGCTAAAATAAAAGCAAAAATCAACTTTAAAACAGGATAATGTCATTAATGCAGAAAAAAAAATTAAGTGGTCATTCACACTGCATGTGACTGCTGAGAAATTATATGTAAGGCGAACAGCACATACATGTTTGATTCGCATTTACGCTTGAAAATAGTGATTCTGAAAATGGAGGATTTTATACTCTTGATATCTTTGGGTAGGTTTGTTATACGCAATAGAGCTGTATATTAGGCTGCTGCTGACGTTCTGGGAAACATACCACTGTTGATGACCTGAAGACGGGACAACACAATTTTGATTCTCTGCAGAGGGGGTGGTTTCTCTATTTCGGCAGTCCGACAACATACGCGCGAAGTCGAGCATTTTAAGATAGAACAGTTTAACAAGAATCGATACCGTGCACCCTTGATCTCTACGTACTCCAACAACTTACTGACGCACACAAAAAATAAATGACTCACAAAATGAAGTTCAAGTGTAGCTGTCACTGACAAAGCCATGGCGTAATGGGTTGTTAATTGTTTCGGTGATTTACACTATTAGCATAACCGAAGATTTTGACAATCACATTAACCCAGATGAATAAACTAAAATGTTTCCACTCATTTCTTTCCTCATATAGATATTATTATATTTTACAATTAGAATTTCAAAGAAGCTAATAAGCTTAATGTGTTATGTTTTTTTAGACAAAAAAAAAAAAGAAAATATTTTTAGAGGAAATTATTAAATATGCATTTTTATATAATGAAATTCTCTGAGACGAAAAAGAAAGTTAAATACCATATTTTTTAATAAATATTAAATATAATAAATGAACAAAAATACTTAATTCGCGATCGCAACGCTCGAGTACGCCCTCTAGCGGGAGCCTGTAAATATCAGACATTACTTTATCACGTTTTCATTTAGTTCCATCAAAATCATCGACCATGACGGACGCCATTTTCTGAACAGCAAATAAAAATCAAAATTTCCCTAAGGAACAGCTGAAGAACTTGAAAAAACTAACCAGAACATGCCAAACATTGAAGCAGAACACGCCAAGCATTTGAAGAACAATTTCTCAATAATTTTTACCTTTCTATTACCAACAACATAACTTACAATTTCATGATCACTTGCTGTTACAGATGTGTATATTACGGTAAAATAATTTTTTCTGTCTTCAATTCATTACAAATTAAANTGCTGCCTAAATAAAATGCCCGCTATCAGGCGTCGAAATATCTCTGGCAGACGTCAAAGAAATGAATGGCGGAATTCTAAACGGGAAAGCATTTCTTATTGAGATATATTCTCTGCTACAGCTCCAAATTTCTCAGCTACATGAAGAAAAGATAATCAAATTGTGAAGGGGGCAGAGAAGTGTATAAATTTCATTAAGTAATTGATTTCAATATCTGGCATTTTTATTTTAAAATTTAACTTTGTTAAAATGTTTTTATAAGATTGCGAAGCAATATGCAATGGAACGGCGAAGCCGTTCTGGGGGTTGGCGAGCGTAGCGAGCAGGGGGCTGAGCCCCCTAGTTTTAATTATACGTTTACAAGGATTTAATTCTCTTACTACGTAAATAAAATTTTATAATTGAAGAGCTTGAATAAATGACACACAAAATGAAGTTTAAGTGTAGATGTCACTGACAAAGCCATGGCGCAATGGGTTGTTAGTTGATTCGGCGATTTACAATCATATTAACCCAGATTTAGACAATCATATTAACCCAGATGAATAAACTAAGATGTTCCCTCTCATTTCTTTCCTAGTATAGACATTATAATACTTTACAATTAGAATTTCAAGGAAGCTAATAAGCTTAATGTGTTATGCCTTTTTAGACAAAATTTTTTTTTTATTGAGGAAATTATTAAATATACATTTTTATATAATGAAATAATCTAAGACGAAAAAAAGAAGTTAAATACAATATTTTCAATATATAATAAATACTCAAAAATACTTAATACAAGATCGGTGACTGATATCGATAGGTCTTTTCTATTTAAAAGACATTTTTGGGAAATTTAAAAAAAAAAAATATTCATATCAGAAATGATCTACGAATGTAAGAAATTCTTTCCACAATAGAAATAATATAAATATATGACAAAATTTGGTTAAACACATTGACTTTAAGAAACTTTATTTAAAATTATTTGGGGTGACAAAATACATTTAATATGAATTGTCAAAAAAAAAAAAAAAACTCTCCTTCTAGTATATAAATCTTTCCACCACAAATTGATGGATTTCGAATGAACAAAATTTTGAAAGGAGATATTGGTCATCTTAGAGAAAATTTTGTTTTCCAGTGTCTCTTCCTGCATTGATGCACTTTTATCTTTAAACAATTTTCAGAAAAAAGGTGGAAAGAGTGATCAGTTGTTTATTTAATTTAAATCGCCACTTTTTTGTAGACACGCCATGTGTCGGGTGGCAAGTGGTTATTTTGGGGTCTACCTGGTACAGTATTAGATATCTTAAAAAAGGTATTACGACCTAGCATTAAAATTTTTGCATTAAAAAATTCTTCTTATTACAAATAAGTAAATTATTTCTGCAAAGTTAAAAATGTTTTGTTGTTGTTGTTGTTGCTGGCCCACATGGTTAGCGGAGCTAAACCAAGTCCATGACTCCAGAGACTCTGAGAAAGTCTGTAACAAAAAGTGGATCTGAAAAGAGGTCCACTTTAGAGATATTTAGGCATTGAAGTATATGTTCAGGAGTAGCTTGTTGGTCGTTACACTTAGTGCAAACAGGGAAAACTCTTGAACCATTAATTGTTTTCCGAAGTCATAGATGTGGAAGAAGTGCAGCTTCTGTGATCAATGAAGGCCGGAGCACCAAAAGGCAGAAGGCTGACTCAGCTCCTTCACCTGCATACTTTAGCTGGGCATAGTGGAATGGCCTTCTCGCCTAGGGTGGCCCTACCAGGAGATTAAACTCCCGACGCCCATTCCACCCAGTGACACCACCCCGCCACGATGAGGCAGTATGCAGGACTTGAGGTGGAAAAATGTTTTAAAATTGACAAATAAAATTCATCATACATATTTTAATTTATGATTGTATTAAGAACAATGACAATATTACTACAAAATATTTATCTTTTAATTAAATATGATCGAATCAAATGATAATAAACAGAAAAATCGTAATTCTATAAAAGTCGAAAGTATTTTTTATAAACGAAACTAATTACCAATCCTTCATTTTTTTCGGATGCATCAAATCGATTATTTTCTATCCAAATCAACTCATTAAGATAGTTGATTGAATTATTTGGTTAAAAAAAATTTAACAAAAAATATGTCACTTTATGTTTAACTCTATTGTGTAACACATTCTGATAGAATGCTTCTGTTATCGAAACTAGCGTAGCGCCCTCTGTATCAAATTTCAGTAGTAAGCACGATCAATTGAGGCAAGTATCTTTTACCTACAAAAATAAGCAGCCTAAAGCTTTTCAA